TACAAACAACAAGTAAGCTCAAGTACGAACAAGTTGTACGAACAAGTACGAACAGCAAGTCAGCCAGATCAATTTTACATAATCCTCCTTCAGCAGTATTGAAGTCAATGCATTGTATGAGGGAAAAAAAAGTTAGTGTAGTGTCTTCAATTTACACCATAACAAACCAAAACATAATAGCCCAAAGATAAATCATGGTGAATTTTCGGTCAAATTAATTTGATTGAAACTTAGCAGCGATGGAGGGGGAAGGTCAAAGCATGAATCTGAGATGCTCTGGTATCTCAGAAGGAAGTGTGGGAGGCACACTGAGGAGTTAGCAATGGGAGGAAAAGGCAATCTAAGAACAAGCCATGTCCCAGTGTTGCACACAGTCTGTGCAGGAGGAGCTGCTCCGTGGGGCGCAGGGCGAGAGCACAGCCCATCCTCAGGGATCTGATTACAGCTCTGGGGCGTGAGTTTGCTTCCCATTTGGGGAGGGCTTAAAATTTATTAGCTGGAGGTGATGAAGAGAAACTTTCTGAAGAATTGAGAGGGAAAATAAGATAAGGGGTTAGGGTTTCACTCTTTCGTCATCCACCAAAACTCATTTACCTGCGATTTGAATATGGAGCTTTGCAAACGACACACAGGGCCTGACTTTGAGTGTGGTTTGGCTCTGAGACTGAGAATGAAGAAAGTTAAAAATAATGGGAATGCATTCTGCAGTCAGTGCTGCAGAGGGGCCATGATGATGGCAGAAGATGGATGTCTGTGTGCTTTTCTTTTGCATCACCATGCAGCAAGGAGAGGGCAGCTGCACTGCCCATGTGGTGCCACATAAAATGGTTATACAGGTCCAGTCTTCTGCATGGAAAGCACCAAACAGTGCTGAAAAATGCTCACATGCTGGGATCTTGAATTTTCAGGAAAAATTTCAATCAGTAGTTTTAATTTTGACACAAGCCAAATCTGTATAGCGAAGCAGAATTCCCATTCATCTTCTTTTTCTCCTATGAAAAATTGTCTAACCTTGAAAATATGATATTAAAAGAAATCTGACTTTAATTACCTCTTAACCTTCACACTTAGATTATTTTCTCACTGGAATGCTGCTCTACAGATCTACTTATATGTTTTATGTGACTAAGTGATTTGTTTGACAATGACTGTTATCTTGACACACCAGACACTTGTATTATTTCGAATACTGCAAATATAGTGCAAACATAATGATAAAAAGAAATCTCACAATGAAAAAAAAAATATGTTTAAAAGGAAATAGAAGTAAATGTTAGTTCTGCTGGGTGTCTTCATGGAGAGCAATGTTGCCATATCTCCAAAGCAGTATTTATGTGAGTATATGCAAGTAGTTTTCTTCACAACTTTTACATCTATGCTATTTGTAGATTGAATAAAATTTTACTGAAACTCTGTCTAAAGTAGGCACACTGATTTTAATTTTGATTCCTTGCCAAAATGTGGATGCTTCAGGCAACATCATTCAAGCAGAGCTTGCAAACACTTAGAAAATGAAGTTGGCAGGGAGTTGATAAATGCTTTGGCTCAAAATTTGGAACAGTAACTCATGGCCATGCATTATTTCCTAGATTGGGGAGAATAAATAAGACAAATTTACAGAGCTGCCTACGGGGGACAGACTTGCACCTGTCTCTGTGGGATGATGCCCACAAATAGTTTGAAAAGGTTGCTCTTGAGAGACTTGGCACTTTTACAAAAGCGTGTCCAAATGCCACGGCCTGTGACAGCTTAAGAGGGCACCTAATTAATGAGCAGCTCTTATTATGAGTATTGGTTAAAGGAAAGGGGGGGAGAGGAAAGATTGACTGAGTGATTGCAATAAATTGCAGGAAGTAATTATATGAGGGAGGGTTATTTTGTTAGTCACCAGGAAAGCTAAAGGCTGTTAAATTTAAATGCACTGGTTTAGGCCTTTGGCAACTCAGTCACACCCTGGTCATCCACTGAGATTAGTTAACCCATTGATGCAAACTTCACCTTGCACATAAATTTTGGGCCCGCTAAGACAAAGCTGTCCTACAACCGTGACCATCTACTACAAAGAAGCTACAGCTGATCTTATTCACAGGATTTGACTTTTTAGGAGTACCATGAAGGCCCAAAATAATTAGTCATGGAAGCCTGTTTCTGCAGTGACAAATTCCATCAGGCTGAAGCTCTCCAGCAACCTTCCCTAAGCTGAGTGGTGTGTTTAATTTGGTGATCCTATTTGTTAAGAGCTCTTTGGGAGGCTACACTCTCACCAAGTCAGGAATTTTCTCACTTTGTTAATCTAATAATCTTAGAATAGTTCAAATAGCGCTTGGCCTGAAAAAGAAAAGCCTGAGAGCTTGTTACAGCACTGTCTGTGAAAAATGAAGCTACGTACTTCAGGGACTGTAGTGATAAAACCTCACAAATCTGAGATTTTCTAAACATTCAAGTGTTAGCCAGTTTCTGATTTCTCAACTACTTGCTTGTGTGTGCAGTTTTTAATTTTCAGGACCCATGAAAATGAGGAGTATGGGATAACTCAAGTAGGTTGCTTCTGCTGGAAACGGCAGAAGAACCGTGCTTAGGTGTCCATGTAATGCAGAAAGCTTAAGCCTCTTTTTCCCCCTCCATTTTCTATTGTAGTCCTTCAACAAACTTGCCAAAGGTTTCTCAGACAGTCCTTCCAGTGGTAAGTGGAAGGATTTCCAGAAGGAAGGACTTTCCAGAATTAGTCAGTCCAAGATTCACCTTCATTGATTAATTTTCCTCAACCCTTGATGCTTTGGAAATGACCATGAGAAAAGGCATTTGATGACCATGTGAGGCTCTGAATTCTTACTGGTAGAGCTGATACGAGTAGAGCTTGCATGAGTAGCAGTATTGTACTATTACTGGTACCAAATTCTCCTGCCACTAACACAGTAAGTTCTCACACTTACAATACAAGTACTGTCAATAGCTCAGGGGGGCTCTTATCAACAAAAAAATCTTTAGGGAGCAGCGAATCCCTGAAGTACAGTAATATAATAATAGAAACCTGTTACTGCCCTGATCTCCTGGCTGCAAATAAACTGGCTGCAATAAGGAACAACCAGTGTACAACCCAATCATATAACTTCTCCAGAGCTCTCTTCTCCTTGAGAATTCTATTAAGGCAGAATGCTTCAATAATTTTTAGGTCCTGAATATTGACTCATTAAAAATCACATTTTTTCCACTCTCAATATGATGTTGTTCAGAGCTGCTGAACTTATTTTGTAACACAAACACAGAGCTACATTGGTAATCACTGCACTGGTAGAACATCTTTGAAACAATCTAATTTTAAACAGAATAAGAAACATGAGCCTCCAAACTAATTTTCTTCAAAGCGCATATCTTTTGAAAGTGCATAAATATTTTAGGGTTGGGTGTTTTTTTTGAGTTGACAGGCACAGAATGCATTCTGATTAAAGTGTATAATACCCAGTCAAATAACAGATCAAATAAAAAGGACACTTAATACATGTGTAAATAATTTGAATTACAAATAAGACACTCTAGAAGGGGCTTGGCTCTAGGTTTGATATGGAGGATTAGGCTCTTGTATTAATACGTGCACTTGGTGTAGCTATTTTCAGAAGGAGACTTCATCTATCATTGTCCTCGAGCCCTGAGGAGGGCCAGTGAGTAAAGTGATCACACTGGTCTGTCAATACTACTTGCTTCAGACTCAGTCGTGCAAAAAGTTTAGTTTTCATGTGTCCCCCAAAAGTGAGTAATGTTCCTGACAGTTACTCTGCTCTTACCTTCCACAAAACAAGAATATATTCCAAAAAAATAAATTTTGAAATTTATTTTTATTGAAATATAAAAAAATAAATCTTGTAAAATGTTTGTAAAGTTGTTCAAAGCCAATACTACTGACAGGGCAGTCTTAAACCAAAAAATCCTATTCAAGCTACACACATCAGCCTGGAAGATCTTTCTCGACTGATGGGAAATAAATGCTAATTAATGACTTCTATACTTTCCATACCTTAAATATTAAATTCAGTTTTGCATTTGGGAATGCATTAGGGAAGCTGTGTCATTCACCAATATTTGAAAAGCACATACAGTCTTCATATTATGGCTTTGCAAAAGCTCTTTATATAGTCAAAAAATCACCAAAAATTCTTACCAAAATATACAGATTTAAAAGAAAAACACAAGAGCTATAGAAATAATGTAAATAGAAGAAGCTTATTTAGCTTAAATTTTCAAAATGGTAGAAAAATGAATATTAGCTTTTAAATAAATTATTAAATAATAGACTCTCAATATTTTTCACCTTTTTCCTCAGTCTCCAGTGGACAATTCTGTCTCTCAGTAGCAGACTACATACTCAGTTTCTTTGCTATGAACTTAACAGCACCACAGAAGGGGCCAATATTACTGGCTGTAACTATCCTTCTGAAACATAAAATAACAATTTCTGTAATGTGGCAAAATACATTATTCCAGTTTGAGCTGTACAGAATAACTTACTACATTCTTCAGACTTATGCATTTAGATGTATAGAGTATATTTTCATCAGAACCATAAAACTGTTTCATAAGCACATCCTTCCCATTCTATAACTATTAGAAAACTGCATGAAAAACATATCAATGTCCTGACTCTTTAAATCTTAAGAAACGCCTTTTCCCTCCTTTCCAGAGTTTAGATAGCTTAGAAGAGAGAAACCACAAATTGCACTACAGGAATCCTGTAGTCTTTAAAAAATGAATACAGCTTTTGCCCCGTCAAGTAGCTTCTCAATATCCATTCAAAGTCATGTTTGAGCTATAGCCCTGCCTGAAAGTCATTTCTTAGTCTAAAGAAGATCAGTGATCTCTAAAGATTTAGTGATGTTATGTGGTTATTGTTCTTAATATCATCTGTGGCTGATGTCTGCAAGGTGGTCTCGAAGGTGTTTTGTGTGTGCGCGTACTCGTAATTCCTGTCAGTAAGAAACGCTCAGGTAATGTTCTGTCATGCTTACCATCCTTCTTGGTGGGTTCTGGCATTGTTACAAGGATTCTTTATTCCCAGAGAGTTTCAGCCTTTCAGATGCAGCCAGTAGTAGCCCCAAGTCCAGCGGAGAGTGTGTGAGATCAGTGTGACAAGCAGAGGGTAAGAAGAATTCCTCTGCTTTATATACTGCGGCTGAAATATCAATCAAAATAGCACCTCCTCTCTTTTCAATGCAAACACTTTGAAAATTGACAGTTATGGGAAACCCTTCACATCTGTTGTCTGCAGCCTCTGCTCCCTTGGCTTTTGGAAGGAATCTCTGCTGCATTGCATGGGGCTGATGAGAACATCTATAACTTTCTAAATTCAGCCGCACAGCTTGCTCTCTGCGTCCCTCTCTGTAACTTGCAGACACGTATGCACACGCAGACAGAGGCTGAAAAAGTGACTGCCATGCTGTTAAAGAGCCTCTCCTGCCTGCAAAACCTGCAGGAAATGCCTCTACGCATTTATGCCTCTTCCCACAACATATAAGTGACAAGTAGGCACAAGCAGTGTGCCTGCAGTGTAGCATAATTTTTTTCCTTCAGTGTGTGCAAAGACAGAGTGAGAAATAGAGTGTCTGTCAGTATTAATGAAAAGTATTATTGTACTCCTGTTTTTAGCAGTGAAGATACTCTGTATTTCCCTTCTGTTTACATATGGTACATTTTCTTGGGTCCTTTCCCTGTAGCCACTCTCATTTTGGCATTGGTGGAGACTGTAATGTTCCTTTCAGCATAAATAATTCATTAGCTGGAGAGATTGCTGCTGGGAGTTGAGATATTCTCTTCTCCACTCATCCAGGAGATCCAGCACTGCTTGCCTTTGCCAAGCCAGGAAACCAGACAGAAGGAATGGAAATCCAATCTGTAGCACACACACAGAACCACTGAACTGAGCCACTGGGTTGCCCTCCTCTGAGACTCCCACTTAAACTACAAACATGTAGGCAAGGGAAAGGCAGGTCAGAGTCATTCACAACGTGAATCAGAGGGTACTAGGATTTGCTTTCTTATGCTCTTTTAGAATTTTGAGACAAAAGGGTAATAATTAGCACAATAGATGAAGTGGTCCTCAAAGGTTTTGTGTTATTGAAGCACATGTTCATACTATTAATCGGGTATCAAGAACTAGGCTACTGGAAAGACTGCTCAGTGTATGAATGGAGCCAAATGTTACAGAAAACCTACCTTACATCTTTGGATAGGATTGGGAGATGTAGTAGCAGTCATGAGCCTGGTTATTCTATAGTCAATGCATGAAGGTTTCCTCTGCAATCTGGTTTTTCCTGGCTATTTAACCTTTTTTATAGACATCTTATAAAGGATGGGCATTTTGTTCCTTTTTTTAAAAGACTATAATCTCTTTTTTTTGCTCTACTCAGTGTGGTGCTTATTTGACTGATTCATGTGCCTGTGAAATATAGAGATAGGCAAGACTTCTGCCTACAAGAACTTAAGGAGTATTAAAGGCATCTTTCTCCTTTATTTCACACCACTATCAAGGTAAACCTGCTGATATCACTGAAATAATTCCTGTCCTTGGAAAGGAAAGAACGCTGCCCTGGAAAGGTAAGTGGGGGTTTTGTCCCTGTGTGTGAGTGGGGTGGCAGCAGTATGAACAGACTTAATAACATGGCAGAGATCACTTTTTATTGTTCCCCTTTCTCCTGCCCACGTCCAGGCACGGGGCTCTGTGGTGGCTGGAACCAGAGCGGGATGAGGAGCAGCTGCTGATGCTCTCCAGCCTGGTGTTTCCTCAATGGCCCTTTGTAAGATGCAAAGATATTTTGCTTTGCATTCCACCCATCATGTGCCAAGAGGTGCTGAGAACTATGCTTCTGGAGATTCCTGCTAATACAAACAGGATTAAACTATGGTCACACTCCAGCACTGGTGGGTTACGGAGGACCTCCACTGCAAACACACAGTGAGAAAGGATTGGTGGCAGGTGCTTATCCTTACAGCCTTAAAGGGCTTTCTTTACAGCAAGAGGAAGAAGGATATCCAGGAAGACAGAATCTTATTCATAATCTTCCTTTAAGCTACTAAATAAATCAATACTGAGATCATATTTGCTGGATCAAGGGGAGGTGTGTTCTCATCTGCGTAGAAAAACTTCCTCTCCATCCTTAAATTGTGAAGCTGCAGTCAGAATCTGTACAGGGAATGGTTGTTGGATGTGCCTGAGATGTGGACCAGCAGCCATCTGAAAATTTGCTCATCCTTTCATTCTTTCCCACCCTTTCATTATACTTGCATAATTCATTGCATTTCACGTCATGTTCCCATTTACTCTGATAAAACATTTCTGGGCTGCAAGTTTCCTGTAATGTAAATTTTAGTGGTATTATTGAAGGTGCTGCTGGGGTAGATTTAGACTGTGATATCTCAGTGTACGTTAGCATTAGCAGTGACAGAGAAAGTAGATAACTTCCTAAGAAAGCAATCCATATTTTATTTGTTTCAGTCTAATTCCCAGCTGAGTCCTTGCCTCAAGCACCTACAGGTATTTCACACTCTTTTTGAAGACAACCTAATAATTTCAGTTTATTTTTCTCCCTGCACAAATATGGTCACAATTCTTATACTTCTCTTCCACATGATAGTCATCAAGCTTGCCTCATCACTGCATAGAAAAGATGAGTAAATTTTGGCCAACCATTGTCCAGGTTGCTTTAAGACTGACAAAAGAAAAGAAAGAAAAACACCGAACAGAAGGAAATGCTTGGTGGTTATTTCTAAGCTTTTGCTTCTTTGATTACAGAGATGTCAAAACATGCTTACAATTATCTATCCTCACAACCTGTACCTTCTCTGTTACTAAATGCATTTCTCTATTCATTTTATGAAGTTTAATTATTTTACCATTTTTTCTTGCCATCCTGCTCTGATTCCCTGTGTATGGTAACCACTCACCTGATTTGCTCACACCTCAGCTTGTGAAGGAGCTGGACCAGGAGAGGAAGCAGTTGAGTCCCTTGTGCTGCACACGTGGTTTCTGAGCAAGGGAAAGGGCCATGAATCACCTCTGGACTCAGCCACAACCCTGTTTACCAAATGACTGAGCCAAGCCTTCATGGAAATTCTGAGGTGGAAAGAACTGAGCTACACCTTGTTTCTAGCCCATGACCTCTCATTTCTGTACCTCAGCAGATAGAACCAAAGGCTCTGGCATCTCCAGCCATCTTTTCATTAACTCACACTATTGCTGAGGCACCTCTGTTTGCTGCCTCATGTCTCTGGATGGAAATGTCCCTTCTCATCACTTGCTCTTTTCCCTGCACACATTGCCTTGTGCCCTTGTGCTTTACCCTTCCCAAAAAGTGAATGTCTCCTGAACAAAATTTATCCTCAGCACAGTGTGGATTTTGTGTACCGCCATAAGAGCTCTTCCTCCACCACCTCAGGGGCCAAACATGTAAAACTCTCTGAGCCTTTCCCTTCCATGCCTGCCTCAATTAATCTTCTGTGGTCTCTTTCCAAAGCACGACTATCCAATTTTAACTCTCTTCAGCTCCTTGAGCAGTTTCCAAATGGCTGCTAATCAGGGCATCAGATAATTAAATCATTCTCTCCTGTCTGTTTTTAATAAATTCCCTTGGTCAAACACCAGAGCTGTATTTGCTGTTGCAGCTGCTACATCTGCATCAATAACTTCATATTTGCTGCTATTTCAAGGACTGAACTCCCTCACTTCTGCCTCTATTCCATTAGGTGCCTGTCTGCTTGCTGTCAGAGAAAAATCTTCATCTTGTCACCAAGCCAAAGGATCAGAACACTCCCAGAAGCCCTGAGAGACAAACCTTTCACCAGAGTATTTAACCAAATGGTAGCATGTGATTTAGCTTTAGGTAGTTCTGTGAGGAACAGGGAGTTGGACCTTGTGATCCTTATGGATCCCTTCCAACTTGAGATTCTCCATTTGAAATTTTTCCATTTAAAAGTTTCATTGATATTGAGAAAAGCTGATCAATTGAAATAGGAATGCCAGGCAAAATGATCAGTGTAGATGAGAACAGGAAAGGATTCCCAGTTCACTAATATGTGCTTATATTAAAAAATAAACAGGATCCTGAGTTTGTTCTTAATAAAGAGTCCAGAGTTTTGAAGCCTGATATAAGTAAAAGCAATTCTTCATCAGCCTTAATATCTGGAGCTTTGGAGCCTTTGGGAAACTGTTACTTACACAGCCCAAGAATGAAGGACAAAAAGCAGTAGCAGATGAGCTTCCCCTCCCATCAGGAGTAACACATAAACACATTTATCCAGGGAGATACAGGAATAAGGTTTGACAGTGTCCAAGCCCCATCCTAACCCCAAATTCCCCTCTCATGAGGCAAAAGGATGGTCATAATAGAAAGTTTCCTTAATGCTCCATGTCTGCAGCAGAATTGCACTGTAGTGACGACATTTTCTGCTCTGATTCTGCCTTTGCTGTGTGGGCTTTTTGAAATAATATATAGGACATTATAGATTTTGGTGAATTTATTTATTGCTATAAGCGATATTTGATATCTGATGAAATATTTCTTTATTTTCTATCATAAAAAGTAAAAAATACACTATTTCAATTTGTACCATGCCGGCTAAAAGTGAAAAGCTAAAAGCATTCAACCAAAAAATGCGCAACCAAAACCAATGCAGAACTTCTGTTTTTGCAAGGGAAGAATGTTGTGTCTTAGAGCATCTGCTACCTTTTAAGTCCCTATCTAATTTGTGAAGGCATTGCTTTTTTCTGGTATCTTAGCTGAACTTCCTAGTGTTGATGAAAGACACCTGGATTTACCTGGCCAGCTCAATTTAATCACAGCCTTGCACTGTAGACTTGCCAGGAAAAAAAACCTCTCCTACCCTGTCATGCACCCTACTTTTCTTCCATGTAAATGAGACATGACCTTTGTTAAGAAATACTTTCTATATTGATGTAGCATCCACAAATGGGGCCTTACTCTATCTAGCAAGATGAGGGAAGATTAAACCCTAAAGCCTGCACTGGATTTTTTTTTTCCAAGGCAGTCGGCTTGGAGGCACTTCAAGGCATGTACAAGATGTCGTTGACAGATAAACACCACTTGCCAGCTTTACCTTCTGCCTTACAACGACCCAGAGGGT